TGTTGTTTGCTAATCTCTTCTTTATATTGCCATGAACATGGTGTTTGATGAATCTAATCATCTAGCTTGCGAGAGTTTAGTTATTGCGTTAGATGAACAATTGAACTTGCTTACATTTGCTTGCGAATTATCTTATTGACTAAGAGAGTTGATTAATAGGATAGATTTGACTTAGAAGTTATCGTTGCGAGAGTATGGTTAACTTGTTATAGTGTTCATGTTCTAAGAAGAAATAAGATCAAATTAATTGCCCCTTGGAAATTACATGAATAATTCGAACTATAAATCCTTGAGAATCCTTGAAAACCCAATGTTTTTCTCTTATCGTTTTACAACCGATTTTCAACCACTCAAAACCGTTTTTAATTTAACATTAATTTTTTAAAACACTTGAAAACCCTAATATTTTAGAGTAATTTACATAAATATCATTTTTGTAGTACTTATGATATAGTAATGGTAACCTATGATCCTAATGGGTTTACCCATTAAACCCATAAACCCATTTACTTATATGGGTAAGAAAATCCAACTCCAACCCACTAAAATTATGACCAGTTTTGGATAATTCATAGGTATTGACCTATTTTAACACTCGTGACACAAAACACGAGATAATTACCCACGAGATAATTACCCAAAAAGCCGTATCTAATATTCTAATCAGCGAATAGGTGAACAATATCAGCATTCAAAATCCTCAAGTGGATATAACCCCTCATTTCTATTAGATATCAGGGGTGTGTAGCCATTGTCATGCTATGTTTAGTTTGGTCCTTCCATGCGAACAAAGATCTGTCATCCAAAGATAGGAAATGTACAAGACATGCATTCCTACCGTTACATTACAAAAGACAAAGGCTGAAGAATGTACACACAAACACACCACCCATCCTATTTTCTTTATCAACCTTCATAGGGTTCCTCTATCACTTCATCTCCCAATATCGCAGTCAATAGGGAATACTTCACCTTCAACGAGATTTTGCCTTTCTCCACCAGTAACCTTGCACCCGATACAACCCAGTACCCGGGTGATTCTTGTGGCCCCCTTGTCATCTCACTTGTATCCACAAATTTCAAAAGTTTGGGAGCTTGCACGGGTACTGGTGGCCCGCCAGGATAGATAGCCGAATTTATATTCACATCTGCAGGTCGTGGTGGCGGTTTTTGTGCCGCAGTGAAGTGGTGGCTTATCAGCGTTGAGATGAGCCCCGATTTCGGAGCAAAGCCTACCGCTTCATCCCATTCAGAATTCTTTACTAGTGTCGCTCCCACAACTCTTGAGAAACAAAGGCACAAGAAGAGCACATTCTTGAATCCGTGGCTCTCTACATAAAGCTGCGCACCTGTTACTACTGAAAGATCATCTTCTGATTCGATAGGTGCTGTACAGACGTGGGAGTAGTTTTTCCAGTTTACTTTCTCAAAGTATCGATGATCATGAGACTCTTGTCGGATATTTCTGTTTGAATCATCTTCGAGCTGGTATATTTTGGGAAGAGAGGAAAGGTGCTGCAAATGAATTGCCAAACGGTTACTTCTTCTACCCTCCAGATAGAGCCGCATGCCAGTGATTGGCCTCTTACCAACATCAACCTGAAACCAGATAAACAAGAAGCAAACATATCAAGACTTACGGACTTCAAAGAAAATTTGAACCTTCCTACATGCAGAATCGTACATCCAGTATTAAAGATATCAGACTGACAAATAAATCCAACACCTGCATCAGCAAGCTATAAATTTAGGGAGGAAACAAACCCATACCGGCGTGGTATTCACGAATAGCTTAGGTCCGAAGAAACTGAATTGCAGAGACGGACAACTTTGTTGCTTCCGTTGCGGACCAAGAGGAAGTTCACTAAATACTGGAGCCCACTGCCTTGGTAGCTGAAACTCTAGAAACTGATGTAGCTCTTCAATTGGTGGCTTATCTACAAAAACAAAACTCAAATAATATTAGTACACAAGGCTTTCCTTTTCCTGTATGTTTCATTTTATGCAAGCTACAAGTGGCAGAAAATTTCAATATCTTGCTTATTCAAATACGAGATTTTATTTATCAACCAATGTAACCAGCTAGAATTGGCGATTAATAAACTGTTAACTAGCTCCAGAAAGACCGTCACAATATGTGCGTTTGCATTTACGTGCTTACCTGTGAAGAAAAAATGAACAAAAAAGGAAACTCACCTTTTTGGTTCAGTTTTTCATGACAGATATTTGCAAAGTGCAAACCTTCTGTTTGGGTTTCGCGTTTATGATTCAAATTAACTAAGGAAAATTGCTTTAAGAGGCGGTTGTGGGTTTAATTGGAATACTATTACACTAAATGGTGTGTAACCCAAATGCATACAAACAAGCGAGGCCTGGATATTTAAAAAGTAAACAGAACCCAAATTCTACAGTTCTTATTCATCACAGAAGCATCAATTGGTTGAATATAATCGATTTGCTCAATGCATTCATCTAAAATGAGATCTCCTTTCAATACAAAAAAGAAGAAGAGATTTTCTAACCACATGCTTCTCAAACTTAGCAAATGAACTTGTCATAGAGCAAGATAGATTTTATCCCAAACAAGCGTTTGGGAAATTTGAGTAGCCATGCTAAGGAATAAATTGGAGTAAAAGGTGAGAATCAATCAGAGCCTTAAGCAGATGAAATTAAACAAAGACAGAAATTTCCGACAAGTATGCAAAATGGTTTCCTTATATAGTAAACTTCTAGTCCAGAGGTAAAAGAAACCAATACTATGAAGAATAATGGAATACCAATTAAAAATGCAAACAGAGAGAATGATGTGTAGGCTTACATCTTAGATACAGATTTATGGCGTGGCTCAAGAATCCACTTCCTGGAACTCCATTAAGTAAAGATGTAATTGGAATAAAAGACATCGAAATAACGTCAGGCTCCATCTGGACTGTTTGCAGCCATTCATTATGCATTAGGTTTCTGTTATCATTTCCACCTCGCCTTTTGCACATGAAGACAATGTCCTACAAATAAAGGCAATTCATTAGAGAAGAAGCAAACGAAATCGATAACCATGTCTTTTAAGATCGACTATGGTACCAGAAAATCACCTCCTTATTTGCATAAGAGCCCAGTGAACTGGTATCTGCAAATCTCAAGCGCTGCTCCTTTGTTTCCACCTGAAAAACAACAGGAATTAAAGACTACTTATCCTTCTATATGTCAAGAAAGCCACAGCATATCTGACATGAACAGTCAAAATATTAATATGAAATTTTGATGATGCCATGTCGATTACTTATATCTGGGATAGGGCACAAATTTCACACACCTTACTACTTGAAATTCTTTCTGAAGCCATATTATGCGTTCCGCTAGCTTCCACAAACCTCTTATCTGCCACCTCTTTTAACCTTTTCTGCAAATCATCAGGTTGAAGTTTCGAGGAGTGTTGCTGTTTTGCATAAATCACATCTTTCCCTCCCATCTTGACACCAACAATTATATGCGTCCCATAAGTATCAATAAACCTGATAAAGAAACATTTGATTAAGTGTAAGTTACACGGAAAACAGTTTGACACAGATACAAAGAAACTGTGCCAAGGAAATGAATTGCTGAAAGCCTGAAAGATTCTAGACTACTATATATAACTGTTGTCAAAAGAAAAGCCTATCTAAATATAGAATTATCTATTTCATTGCCAAAGAATCAGACAATTTCACATAGGAATGGCAGCTGTTAGTAAGCTTCTGTTGAACATGAGCTTTTTACATTTACAGAACCATGCATGACGAAGAATATAATCAGAATATGAAGACCGTATATCACCTTGCGAGAGCAGCAGGGTCCCATGATGATGGAACAGCCTGCTTAACATGGTCGCGGAGTAACATTTGAGATTTGTCCAAAGCAACAGTGTATAATGAGATGAATATCCCATCAAAAGCAAGGTTTTTGGTATAGGCTGCATCTTTCTGCCAGCAGCTCGAGAATTCAAACATGGCATTGAAGAGACCTGACGGGATTTTACCAGCCAAAGATAGTTCCTGGTTGAACTGCTCTGCCATCTGGATAACAACAAGAAAGATTAGGCAACTCAGAACGTACAAGTAAACTAGAACCAGGGAAAATTCGAGTTTACCTGTTGGAAAGAGAGAACATCAGACCTAAAGCGCATGCGCTCGCCTTTATCGCATTTGATAGACTTTGAAACATTTGGGATGGAGATTCCACCAGGTAAGAGAATCTCGCAATTGCCATCACCATCAGAAATGTCAAGTAATCGTGAATCTTTAGAGCCTCCTTTGCAATACTTCAACCGTACATCAATAGCTAAATCATAACCGCAGCCAATTGATCCAATCGCAACTTCAGCTGCTTTAGAAGCTGGTAGCCGAAGTGCCATGCTTCACTGCAACGCTTCTTTCTGCCCAAACCAAAATCAATAATAGCTAAGACAAATCAAAGCACTTGGGAACATTTAACCAATAAATCTGACAGCTAAGATAACTTTGAATTCAACAATCCCAAAACCTAGCTCGTTGACCTAGAAGAATCTTGGACAAACGACCAGGTCCACCAATTGAGTTCAGAAAATATACAAAGACACCGAAAGAGAAAGAGAAGAAAAGAAGGGGTTCCAGGTCAAGTACGTTTTGAAGCATGTGTGTTCAGAGGAATGAATTGCCAAACTAGAGAGCTCAATGCCACGATCTAAAGGAATCGACGCAGCCTCTGGTGGGATTCAATCGGGAAGAGGAACAGTGACTAGGTTTGCAGAGTCAAGGACCTCGGTCATGGAGAGAATTGGGAGGAAGGAGGAAGAGCAAACCTCGAATCGAGGAGCGGTAAAAGAAAGGGAGAAGAAGAAGAAGGTGGGATGCTAACAGGTGAGTAAAAATTAAAAAAAAATGTGTTTATTGGTTTGGTCAAAAAGAATGGGGAATTGTGTGTGGCCATTGCTTTTTTCCTTATTTTACTTATATAATAATATTTTGACC